GCCTCTGGTGATGCACGTCACACGTTTATTGTTCGCTGCACTTATGTTGGTGCACGTAGTGGTACTGTTTCCCGCCATGCTTTTCACAGTGGTGTTGCTGGTGGCGTTGGTAGTGCTGCGCGTGGTGCTGTTGCTTCCCATCCTGCTCGTCACACTGGTGCTGCTGCTGGCGTTCGTGCCGGTGCTCTTGGTGAAGTTGTTTTCCGTCGTGCTAGTCACAGTGATATTGGTTGTTGAGATTGTGATGCTGGTTTGTGCTGGTCGCACTGATGCTGCTAGTTGCGCTCGAGCTCGGGCGCGTGATGCTGGTGCTGCCTGTCGTGTTGGTCGCGCTGGTGGCGCTGGTGGTGCTACGCGTGGCGCTGCTGGTTCCCGTCGTGTTCGTCACAATGCTATGCATTGTGGCGCTGGTGTTGCTGCGCGTATGAATGCTGCTTGCTGTCGTTATGGTCACAGAGGTACAACCTGTGCCGCGTGTGTTGCGCTCGCGTTGGTGCTGTTGGCTCCTGTCGAGCTAGTCACACTAATGCTGCTGGTTGCGCTCGAGCTCGGGCGCGTAGTGGTGCTGGCCTTTGTCGTGCTACTGACAGAGGCGCTGCTGGTGACGCTAGTACTGCTGCGAGTGGTTCTGACGTTGCCCGTGGTGTTGGTCGCAGTGGAACTGCTCGTTGCGCTCGCACTCCTCCTGCTGCTCGCCCGACGCGTGGCGGTCCGCAGCCGCCGCAGCGGGCAATGGCGACGCCGACAGCGCAGCAGCCGCTGGACGCCTTTGACGACGACTGTGGGAGGGTGCTGCCCACGGGCCGCCGCTGGCCAGGTTGGGCGCCGTTGCTGGCCAGGCAGGGCGCTTGTGCTGGGCGCTGGATCTGCTGGCTGGGACGGGCGGCAGCAGGCGGCGGGCGCTGACGGAGGGCCCACGACGAACCACTACCCCATCCTCGCGCTCGCCGTGGCGGTCTGGGGTGGCACTGCTGGCGTGACCCTTCCTCCTGGGAGCCTCCTGGGAAAGACCGTCAATCGGGCTGGGGCAGAGCAGCAGTTGCTCCCAGTGTGGGTCTCGCACCTCCCAGCCAAGCTTCGCACGGAAGGGCTGCGCATCTCTGCTTTGGGGCGCCCCAAGTGTCCAGCGCAGAATCGAACGATTTGGGCCGTGACGCTCTACGCTGGAGCGCGGGAGCGCTTCCCCCCCCGCGGGCCTCGCCGATGGGGGGCGGGGGTGCTCGCGCGGTCCAGCGCGAATTGCTTGGTGCTTATGGTTTCGTCATGCTCGTTCCAGTGGAACTGCTGGTGGTGATTGTGCTGCCTCGCATGGCGCTGCTGCTTTCCGTCCTGCTCGTCGCCGTGGTGCCGCGGGTGGCGCTCGTGCTGTTGCGCTTGGCGCCGCTGCTCGCTGTCGTGCTTGTTACAGTGGTGGTGCTGGCGGCGTTGGTGTTGTTTCGTGTGGTGTGCGGTGTTGCTGGTCTTCGTCGCGGCCGTCATATTGGAGTTGCTCATTACGCTAGTACTGCTGTGCGTGGTTGTGCGGTTTGCTGCCGTGCTGACCGCAGAGCTACTACGGGCGTTACTTCTGCCACTGCTGCTCGCACTACTGCTGGTGGCGGCGCCGATGCTGCTATAGTGTTCGTCGCGCTACATTTGCTGGTTGCACTAGAGTTGGTGCGCGTCGTACTGTTGGTTTCCATTGTGTTGGTCAAGGCGGGTCCTGCTGATTGCTCTGGTGCTTCTGCGTGTCATGCTGCTGCTTCCCGTGGTGCTCGCCACGTTGGTGGTGCTGCTGTTGCCCGTGGTGTTGCTGCGCATGGTGCTGCTGCTTGCTGTCGCTTTGGTAACAGAGATATTGCAGGTGGCGCTTGTGTTCTTCGCGCTACTGCTGCTGACGGCGCTGATGCTGCTGCGCGTGGTGCTGCTTCCAGCAGGCCTTGGCGGAATGGTACTGCAGGTGGCACTTGTGCCGCTGCTTTTGTCTTCATGCGCAAAGCTGCTGCTGTTGATGATGCTGCTTCCTGTCGGGCTGGTCACAGTTGAGCTGGTCAGTTCGTTCGGGCTGCTGCTGCTTGGCCGACACGTTGTGGGTCGTCGCGCGCGTCTTTGCCAGGGCGCGGGGGGTGGGATCGCGTGGGGCGAGCAGCCGGCTCCCGTGGGACAGGCTGTGGGCTCTTCTCTGGGACGCCTTCGGTTCAGGAGGGGAAAAAACACACAGACACAATTAATCTTCGACTCCCAGAAGATATGGGAAAATATGGGAAGTGGGGGGGAAGACAGAAACCCTGAAAATATTGGAAAATATAGGGGATATGTTTATTTGTGTGTATTTATTTTTGTGTTCCAGGGCCCCTTCATCGGTGCCCAGCACAGAATCGAACGAATTGGGCCGCCACGCATGCCCTGGAGGGGGTGGGAGCGCTCGCGCAGCCCAGCGTGGTTTCCGTCGTGCTCGTTCCAGTGGAACCGCTGGTGGCGCTGTCGCTGCTCCTCGTGGCGCCTCTGCTGGTCGGACAGTGCGCTGGTGCTACGTGCTGGAGTTGCTGTCCTGATTGGGCGGCGGCAGGTTTCGGGCGTTGACGGCGGGCCCACGACCAGTTCCTACCCAGTCTTCGCGCCACTCCTGGGCAGCGCTGCTTTCTTAGGCCTCGGCTGGCGCAGCCCGTTCCCTAGGAGGGAGGAGGAGCAGGAGGAGGAGGAGGAGGAGGAGGAGGAGGAGGAGCAGGAGGCTTTGGCAGAGCAGCAGGTGCTCCAAGCTTGGGTATCGCACAACTCCTAGTGAAAACTTCGCGCGGACGGATTGCGCATGTCTGCCGTGCGGCGCTCCAGCGCCCAGCGCAGAGTTGAGCGAGCTCGGCCGTGACTTTTTGCACTGGAGTATGGGAGCGCCTGCCCCCCCCCCGCCGATCTGGCCTGCCGGGGGGTGGGAGCGCCCGCGCAATCCAGCGCGAGTCGCCTGGCGGTGCTGGTTACCATCGTGTTCGCTCTAGTGGAATTGGTGGTGGGCGTTTGTGCTGCTGCGCGTGGTGTTGCCACTGTTCGTCGTGCTGATTACAGTGGTGTTGCTGGTGGTGCTGGTGTTGGCGCGTGTCGTGCTGCTGGATCCTGCCGTGCTCGTCGCGGCGGTGCTGCTCCTTGCGCGTGTGTTTGTGCGCGTAGTGCTGCTGACTTCCGTCGGGCTGGTCACACTGGTAATGTTGGTTGCGCTTGTGTTGTTTCGTGTGGCGGTGTTGCTCCCCGTCGTGCTTGTCACAGTGGTGTTGCTTGTGGCGCTAAGGTGTTGCTGCGTTTGGTGTTGCTGTTTGGTGTCGTGGTGGACACAGTGTTGCTGGTGGTGGCGCTTGTGTTGCGTCGCGTAGTGTTGCTGCTCCCCGTCGTGGTCGGCAGACTGGTGCTGCTCGTGGATGTTGCTGGTGCTGGTCAAAGAGGCACTGCTGTTGTCGCTCGTGTGGCTTGTACTAATATTTCTGCTGCTGTTGGCGTTGGTCTTGCTGCTGCTGTGAATGTTGTTGCTGCTTCTGGCGCTTCTCGTCTCGGTGGTGCTACTGGTTGCGCTAGAGCCACTCCGCGTGTGCAATGGGACACCTCGCCCACGATTGCGACGGATGCTCTCGCCTTACCAATGGCCGCATCCACTATATCGACTTTGTGTTGGCCGTGATCCCGGCCGCATCCACGATTGCGAATATTGCCTTCGCCGCAGCGCAGGCCACATCCATGATTGCGAATTGTAGATTCGCATCAGTGCCGGCTACATCTGGACGTTGATCTCCCCTCAGTGCCGGCCACATACGTCATTGCCAACGTCATTCTCGCTGCAGCGCCAGCCACATCAACGGCTTCAACGGCTGCTGTCGCCTCAGCGCCAGCCACATCCATGACTGCGAATGTTGTTTTTACCTCAACGCCAGCCTCACTCATGATTGCAAGTGTTGCCCTCGCCTCGTCTCCAGCAACATCAAAGATCGCCAAACTTGCTCTCGCGTCAGCGCCGGCCACACCCACGATTGCGAAAGTTGCTTTCGCCTCAGCGCCGGCCACATTCATGATGGCAAGTGTTGCTTTCGCCTCACCGCCAGCCGCATCCATGTTTGCGAAAGTTGCTGTCGCCTCGGCGCTGGCAACAAACACGATTTCCAAAATTGCTCTCGCTTCAGCGCTGGCCAGATTCTTGATTGGATACGAGAGGGATTAGTGTTACAGTTGGCACGTGTGCATCGCATGTTGCTGTGCCGCCCCGCTCTGGTGCATGCAGCGCGCGCGTGACACACCAGTGTCGTTCACGTGAGTTCCAATGGGTAAGGGTAGCTTTTGCGCAGTGTCGACGGGGCCTGGGTCAGCTTAGATTAGGGGTTTGCCACGGTAGGGGGGGGCTTGTAGCCCGCATTCGTTCTCACGAAGACCTCCAAGAGATTGCCTCCCGACGGACCTCCGCAAGTTTGTGCCCGGCGACGCGCCCAGGGGGGACGTGAGCAAGCTGAGCCGCCACCTACCAAACCACCCCTACCCAACCCCAAGGCCCCAATTTGCCATCCATTCCAAGCGAGCAGCGCAAACAAACGGGAACGTCTGCGCCGACATTTGCGCGTAAGCTGCCCGTGTAAGCTCGCGCGTGAGCGCCCTCGTCTCAATGGCAGCTTGCTGCGCTGGCGGCCCGCGCATGCCGCCGCGTAAGGTCGCTACGTCATCTCGCCTAAGACCCGTTTTTGAACAATTGTTTTTTTTCCCGTCGGCGGCGAGGCAGATGCATTCCGCTCCAGCGTGTGGCTATGCGGGGCAACCGAGAGGCTTCTTGTCCGGCGTGCAAGAGGGAGGAAGACGTTGAAAATTACATGTGCAACCCGCACCCCCCACCCCAACCCGAAATTCGGGTTTTCGGGTTGGGTTGGGGTGGTCTGGTAGGTAGCCATCTCAGGAAATCTGCGCGGACCTCAGAGTTTTTATGTTTATGTCATTTCTTGTTCCCCTAGAAAGATCGCCCGCGATCCGTGTCCCCCCAGGAGCTGCACGTCGAGCAGATGCAGCGCACCGCGGCCGGCCTGCGCGCCGACCTGGCGCGGGCGCTGGAGGCCGAGCAGGCGCTGCACCTCTCGGTGGCCCGGGCGGGGCCTCCCAAAGAGCCTCCTGGCGGGGAGGCGCAATCCTTCGATGCTCCTTTCTCGTCCTCCCTCCTCCTCCCTCCTCCTCCCTCCTCCCTCCTCCTCCCTCCTCCTCCCTCTCCTCCCTCTTCCTCCTCCTCCTCCTCCTCCCTCCTCCTCCCTCCTCGTCCCTCCTCCTCCTCTTCCTCCTCCTTCTACTCCTCCCTCCTCTTCCTCATCCATCCTCCTCGTTCTGGGGACCTTCCTGAGGCCCACCTAACGGATCTGTTCGACTCAGGTTTGACTCAAGTTCGATTCAGATTCGACTCAGATTCGACTCAGATTCGACTCAGATTCGACTCAGGTTCGACGCAGGCTCGACTCAGGTTCGACCCAGGTTCGACTCAGGTTCGACGCTCGTGTGGAGCGAGTGGCTCCAGGAAGGTCCCCAGAATGAGTATCTAACAATCCTCGGCGTCACCCCAACCTCAGTGGGCCCCGGAAACGACAGGGAAGTTTTTCACCGGTTCAGTTTTTCCGTTTGTGTGGCCGGTTGCGGCGCCGTTTTGTTGTTGGCCGGTCACGTCGCCGTGCTGCTTTCGGTTCCGGGTCTTGCTCCAGTTCTGGAGCCAATTCTTTTTTGCTGTTGTTCAACCCTTTCCATTCTAAAGCGACGGCAGAGCCCCCGCTTCGGGCACGAGTGCGCGGCGACATCCGCGTTGCACGCATGAGCGAGTGTGTGCCGGCATCCGGGTTCTGCGTGGAGGATTTGTTTCCGTAAGTCAAGCTGTGGCGAAGCGTCTTGGCTTGCCTGTAGCCCCACCAAACAATGTTCTAAGAACCTCTTGTGGTTTCCACGAAATGTTCTTAAAACATTTCTGGTTTGGATTGTCTTGTTTTAGCACATCGGGTTTACATTCTAAGAACACTGTTTTTGCTCTCAGAACATGTTTGGCTTATGTGAACATTTCGTGGTAGGACTATAGGAATGCCGGGACGGTCGGTCCCTGCTCAAGTAAGAGTTTCGCCGCCTGCCGCCGGCCCCCGTTCTATCAGAATGGGATCTATCAGAGTCGCGTCGGTGCGACGCGAATATCTGCACAGGTTATGGCCTCGGGGGCGCGAACATAGAGTAATGTTCGGGGGGGTGTTGTCTCGGCGGGGGCGCAAGAATTGTATGATTTGCGAGGGCTCATGGCCTCGGAAACGCGAACATTGCGTCATGTACGAAAGATTGTGGCCTCGGGGGCGCGAATTCATATTTTTGTTACGTGTCCCACGCCCCCCCCCCCAGGAATGCAGAGCACGCGATCCGAGTGTGGTAAATTGCTGACGTGGAGTTCCCTCCCCCGCGCGGACTTGAACATTTTGCAGTAGGAAGCAGAAGGCAGAACTGTAGCTTTGGAGACTTGAGACTGCAACTGGTGCGGGGAGCAGCAGCCTAGCCCTACAACCTGGTGGTCCCTGCCGCATCCTGCGCCCATTGAGACCCCAGCACATTATTAGTATGTGTGCGTCGCCCCCCCAGGGGCGACGCGTGCGCCCAGAAATCTCACAGTGTAAGCTCCGTGGCGGGCGCTGTCTGACCCTATTGCTCGGGAAGCCATGTACTACAAAATGGTCATATGACATGTTTGGGTCGGACACACGCCTCCAAGGAGGACATGTTGTACTAACGTGTCCTTGCGCGTCCCAGAGCAGGCCATGGCCTTTGCATCGCTCGGTCAGTGCGCACTTTGCTCGCAAAGGGGGGGCTGGGGAGGGGGGGAAGGCTTCTTAGCAGGAGGCTCCTTCTCAGAAGGCGAGGGCCTTGTCTGTAGATGTAGGGTCGTCGCCCTGGAATAAGCCTTCACTCAGTATCGTTTAACCGACCCGATATCCCCATATCCCCATATCCCCATATCCCCATTCCCGTCCACCCCCCCCCATCTCAGCATCGGCCAGTGTGGCCCAGGCCACGCCCATGATGATAGGGCTCGCTTGAACGATGCTCATTCCCCCCTCCCCCTACCCTTCAGTCGGGCGTGTGCTTTTACAGGAGGAATGTGCAAAAGTAGTCCAAACATAGTCTGGGGACGATGTTGTGCATGTTTTTGACTGCACACTGCTGGACTTAAAAAAACATTCATTCTTTCAAAATCCGTCTGTAGGAGGACATGCCCGACATAACCCTGCCCTATGGGGCCACGAAACGTTGTACTGGGTGGGTGAAACGCAGGGAGGAGGGGGAGGAGGGAGGAGGGGGGGAGGAGGGAGGAAGGAGGGGAGGAGGAACGCGGGGACCGTCTCTTCAAAACGAGGACCCAACACCACAGGATGGTTGGGACAAACATCATCCAAAATCCGCCTGTAGGAGGTCAGGCCCGACCTAACCTTAAGTCGGGTCTGTCCCTCTACAGGGGGAATATTCAAAAATAGTCAAAAATAGTCGGGGGACAATTTTTGGTGTATTTTTGGGCATCTTTTGGGCATTGTTTGAGTATTTTCATTTTTCGTCCAAATCCCCCTGTAGGGGGACAAGTCCGACCTAAACCTAACCCTGCCCCCTTGTGCGCGCCGCCAGTCTGGATCAGCTTGGAGCCTCTGCGGGCCGCCCGGCCTCGACTCCTGTGGCCCCCCGACGGCGCGCACAGAGAGACGTGGCCCTCGGGGGCCCCCAAACGGCGCGGTGACCACACCGTGCGGTGAGTCGGCGGGGATTCGGGGTCACCGCACGGTCTTGGGACTCGGGTCGTTCTCCGAGGACGTCTCGGGCGACAGGGGCCTCCAGGATCCCAAGCTCATAGATCACCCAAGGAAGGGCTACCCCTCGGGCCTACCCCTGGGGCTACCCTAGGGCTACCCCTAGGGCCTACCCCTAGGGCTACCCTAGGGCTACCCCTAGGGCCTACCCCTAGGGCTACCCTAGGGCTACCCCTAGGGCCTACCACTGGGGCCTCTGGGGTCCCGAGACCGTGCGGTGACGGACCGTGCGGTGAGGTCTGGGGGGATCTCGAGGTCACCGCGGTCCGTCACCGCAGCGTTTCGGGGCTCCAAAGTGGCACTGTGCTCGGGCGTTGCAGGTCGTGCCTGCATGGGCCATGTGGGCAGCATCCCCCCCCGGCCTGCGATTCTGCAGCCCCTGATTCGAAGAAGAAAAAACGCCATAAACAGAAATTGTTGGCGCTCCGCGCGGATTTCTGGGATCCGCGCTGGGCCCCCCAGGCGGCGCCTCCGGCGCCGCCCATGGCGCGCTCCGCGCGCCAGGGAGGGGGGTCCGGCGCAGATTCAAGAAACCCGCGCGGAGCGCCAAAAGTTTCTGATCATGGCGTTTTTTCTTCTTATTTTTCTTCTTCTTCTTCTTCTTCTTCTTTTGACCCAGATGGGGGGGTCAGAGGAGGCAAAAAAGTACGTGCCAAAGCCGCTACCATTGCCTCGTTTTTGTCTTTGTGGGCCTCCTGGGAGGCCCTCGTCGCCACCGCTGAAGCTCGATTCGCCTCGGAATCCTGGTCAGAACGCGCCCCAGCAAAGGTCCGGGGCAGCGGTGTCGGTACCTTTTGGTTTCCCCCGTGGGGGGGGTGGACGAACTGTTGCTAGCCGTTCCTGGCTATATTGCACCAAATCTATTGCATCACCCCCTTGGCGCTGGACCCCCTTTTGGGTCAAGCCGAGCCACGTCGCAGCGTAGAGAGGAGGAGGAGGAGCCAGAGCAGTAGACGGGGGAGGGAGAGGCGACACCACCACCACCACCACCACCGGGGGGGGGCACCTCCAGCGAGGAGGTCCACACCATGCCTCTCAGAGCTGGGGTCTAGGCCTCCTGGATGGGATCCGAGCAGATGGGGTCGGAGGATCGCGCCGCATCGCCGATGCATCGGCGATGCGGCTCGATGTGGAGCCCGTGTTTCCCCACGCCAGCGTCGCCGGTGCATCGGCGACGTCGCCGATGCATCGCTGATGCATCGCCTATATGTCGGCGGTGCATTTGCGATGCGGCGCGATCCTTCGACCCCATCTACTCGGACCCCATCTGGGAGGCCTCTATGGGGACGGGGGATGTCTCGAGCGAGATGGGGGGGCCACACCACCAGGGTTAAGCCACCACCAGGGGGGCTCCCCCGGTCTCCTCCCGCCGGTGGTTCTTGGTGGTGGTCGTGTCGCTATCATTTTGTCTTAAGTCGGGCCTGCTCCTCTACAGGAGGGGCATTCCAAAATAATGAAAAAATAGTACGGGGACGTTTTTTGTATTTGTTGATATCTGTTTTGGTATGTTTGTTGTATTTTTCATGTTTCGTTCGAAATCCGCCTGTAGGGGGACCCGCCCGACCTAACCATTGTTCCGTGGCATCGCGCGGACGTGTGCATCGAGGAGCATTTTGGTGCATTTGGGGAAAAATGGACACACGAAATCGAAACATGCACGGGGAATGGGCGTCTGTGCGAGGGCGAGTGTTTCTACAAGGGGAGGGCAGCGAGGAGGCGAGAGGGCTCCCGCGCGCCGGTTGGCTCGGCCAAAGGGCCGCGCAGTACGGCCAGATGGCGCTGGGCCATGGTCTCCTTGGCATCGCTCGGAAGCGTGGATTTGCCATGCCACGAAGTAAAAAACAAACACATAATCGCCTGCCTCGAGAAACAACGTGGGAAAATGTGGGAAGTGGGGGGGAAGACGAGCAATCTGGAACACACGGAACAAGATGGGGGATTCTGGGATTTGTGTGCATGTGTGTTTCCCTTGGCCCCCTCATCGTGGCGATGTCAGCGCCACCTCCTCCTCCTCCCCCTTCACCTCCTCCTCCTCCTCCTAATCATCATCATCATCCACCTCCTCCTCCTCCTCCTCCTCCTCCTCCGTCCTCCTCCTCCTCCCCTCCTCCTCCTCCTCCTCCTCCTCCTCCTCCTCCTCCTCCTCCTCCTCCTCCTCCTCGTCCTCCTCCTCCCCCTCCTCCTCCTCCTCCTCCTCCTCCCCCTCCTCTGGGGGCACCTGGGACCACCCTGGGGGGAAGAAGGGCACGCGCGCAGCCGGACCCACGCGCGGT